GGAATTCAGAGTTTCAGAGATTACCAGATTAATTTGAATTCCATATTTTGGAGATTGGCCTATATAATTGTTGAATTTTGCATTTCAGAGATTCTGTAGCCTTTGTAGGCCCTACATGTTTGGCCTATCATTGAAACTTGTGTTTCCACAAAGCATTATCGTTGAATTCCGTGTTTCAGGGATAGTTTATCTTTGAAATCAGTGTAACCCATAACATGGTCACTTCAGCTTCTGTATTACGTAGCTTGGTGACTGTGCTTTTATTGGGCGCGATCAGTCAATGTGGTCGACATGAGTGGTCACTCAATCTTTGCCCAATCGTTTATTCTTATTGCACGATTCAGTGATAATTCTGCCATCTTCCAGTCAACCTTTTCAGGAAGAATTGTGCACAAACCATATGAGACTGGTCTAACAAATTCTAAATGTTTCTTACTACATGCATTTTCACTGCTAAATTTGACTTTTTAGGACATTTTTATGTTGCTTTCAGATGGGTAATAGGTAGTGGCATCCATCTATAGGTAGAATGCTTTTCAGATCGACCAACTGCACAGAGTGATTAGACAATGAGCAGATTGTCCAGTTGCTCCCAATTCTCTCACACTAACCATCAGCAAGTACATGTAGGTGTACATGTACATGTAGGCCTACCTTCATCGTGCTTAGACCATGGAGAAATAAGAATACCTAATGACTGGTGCACTGTGATTCCTTCTCCATTTTTATTCTCTTTACTGTGAGTTTGATGGTCCTAATAGCGTCCCAGTGAAAAATCACATTTTTAGCGTAATTTTGCTGCTGCAATGCTGAAAACATACAAACTACCTTAAACCGAATTCCTCTGAGGTTTTTTCGTGCTATCTGCTGTCAGGCCTTATAAGTTCAACGGTTATTTGTAATCGCTCATGCCCATATATTTGCTTTGATTTTTGTGATGAAAATGAAGTTAGAAATGTATTAGAATTCACCTTTTGATGTTCGCATGCATTGTGTATGTAGGATGTCTTGACAAACATTCAATATATTTTATGCATAATCCTATAGAAGAATTGTACCTCCAAAACAAATATTTTTCCACTTGATCACATACTCAAAACCAAGCCATCCTCTTTCCACACTAGATTGAGATGAAGTTATTTACAAAAAAGAAATTTTAAAGCTCATCAGAAAGAAGCAAATTTGGAGAACCTTGGTCATGAACACCAGTTTCTGTCTTAAACCATGATCCTGAATACTTATGAGCTTGTATTAGCCAATGCGAACTTAAAGCTCAATCATCTCATATTGACCAATTATGTTACTCTCTCTGCCTAAAGTGAATTGTGCCTGTTTAAGACGGACATTCTAGAGTGACTTTCTTCTTGCTACTTTTGAGAATTTGTTATTTTGAAAATGTTTCTTGTTCACGTACTATGCGTCCATTTCTGGCTTGCCAAGTGTACCTTAGAAATTTTCTGAAGAAACTCACAACTTGATTTTTGACTGGTTCACTAATTGCCAAGTACATGTATGTGCCACTTAAAATTCTCCAAGTTTCCTTTCAAAAGTCAATTCTATGTTGATTGTCTTTGATCACCACAGCGTCAGCTGTTATTTTAATCTCCAGCAGGTTGTTGTATCATGGATGCTCTCAAGGCCTATCACAGCTCAGACTCTGATGATGAGACAGTACCGCATCCCAACAAGCCCCCAAATGATGTGGAGACTTTTGATATTAATAAGCCCTTGGACACAGCAGCAAAATTGCCTCCGCCATATCTTGATTTTAACTTCTCAAAGAGACAGCACGGTGGTGAAAGTTCTGACGAAGCTGTGTGTCATCCTTTGTTGCCATGGAGTGGACCACCTAGAAGAAACAGAAAACATGATCTTTGGAAACAGCAGGTTAGTGCTGGAAACCAGACCTCCGCCGTTAACTCTGGTCACATGGCTTGTACATCTGTAGCAGAAACAGAGCCATCAATGCACAACTTGTCACTGGCATCATCGGCTGGAGCTCAACATAAAGCAGGAGAGAGGATGTTCCAAGGAAAGTCTGATGTAACATGGCACACGAGTGCCACAAGCAAACGACAAGCAGTGATCCAGCCTTATGTTCCTAAGAGACTGCGCCCATCCCCTTCATGTGCCTGTCATGCAGACCCTCAAAGTCCTCAAGGAGAGCCCACTCTGGAAAGTTTAAAAGAAACCATGTACATAACACAGCCTGTGATAGCATGCCAAATGGAGAGACATCTGACTTCCAAGCTTCCTAAACACAAAACGTTTCAGTTCCACTCACACACGGGACCAGTAACCTGCATCAGGTGGTGCCGTCCTCAGTTCAGCCACCTTCTGTTGTCCTCTTCCATGGATAAAACCATAAGGATCTGGAATGGGATCGGCACTGTCGGATGTTGCCTGCAGATATTTAATTGCCACAGGGGTGCCGTGAAGGATGCCCAGTTCACGGAGGGAGGTCGACGTGTTCTCAGCTGTGGTTTTGACAAAACAGCGAGGCTTTGTGATGTGGACTCAGGTCTGTCTGTCTGTCACTTTGTTGGGTTGGCTGTCTCCTCAGGGTATGCAGGTTTTTTCAGAGTGGCCAAATGTGTTAATGGCAAATTTCTTTTAGAAATATTGCGACCTAGGCCCTATTGATAAACCAGTTCACGTTCAGATAAGTACATATTATCCCTTGTTGTATTGAATGATACCATGCAAAATCAATTAGAATCAATAAGAATAACTTTCTACAGGCAATGATTGTCATCAATACAGTTTCCCGGAGATTCAATACTAGAAATTCCCAAACTGATTAAGAAGGGCTCAAACTGTGTGCCACTAAGAATATAATTTTCAAGACAGGAAAAAAACAATTTGATTACAAAAATTTTGAGGCAGATGATTATGTTATACAGAGATAGTTTGAGTGTCGAGATGAATTCTAGGCAGCAGTTAGCTATGTACTTTGAATGTAACACCAACTAGATCATTGCGTCTTAGTTGGGAGCCTTGTCAATTTAGACCGCATAGCTTAAACATTCGAGAATCATGATACTGCCCAGAAGTCATGATTTCAGAAAAAATCCAATCATGATTAATGAGACTTCATCAAAAAGTGTAACTGCTCTTTGAAATGTTTAAAGGTCACTTATCAAATTGACAACCTTGCTCCAAATGCACTGCATGATGCACTCATTTACAAGCTTTTTCAATAAATGTTTCTGCACAGAATTGCTTGGGACCTTGGCTGTAAACTAGGACTCAGACCATTGCCCAAACTTGTGAGCTCTGCCTTAACCACTCGCTGTCAGGTGGTTTGAAAAATGCGGTGCACACAAATGGGACGTTCTCAAGATTTTCAGTTTTCAAAATTCTTCAAAAATTCATCATTTTAATTAATGGATGTTTACACCCACAGGAATGACTGTCTGGTGGCTACTCTAATCTGACAGACAAAATCTATTGACTACCCGAGTATTTCAACCAGGCCTGCTGCCTTGTAAAAAGAGCCCAGATTGTGCGGTGTTATGTAACTTTCTTTTGTTCACGAACCTGGCACAGTGTGCTGCTGACCTCTTTTCAGTAGGGGCCAGATTGGCACGCAGCGGTGCTGTGTGGCTCATCACTGCGGTGGTGGAGCGCTTTTGTCCCTGGCGGTAATCAGCTCGCACTAAAATCCCCAAAACCATGGTATACTGTTTCAAAACAAGGCTGGATTATCTCCGCTATTGAGAGTGAAAAAATGTTGGTAATGACCAGCAGCCTGGTCTTTTGTTACGAGTACGGTCTTTTGTTACAAGGCCCAGTTCCCTTTTTCCAATTTCGGAGACCCCGGCCACTCGTATAAAGCATACATGTATGTGTCCGGTACTGGAAACTCCGGCGGCAAGTTGTTAATGTAGAAATGATTCACAAGGAATCAGAAATGACTACAGTACAACAGAGAATTGGTTGCCAAAAAACAAACAAGGGCAGGCTCTTTCTTCCATAGCCTGTGCTTGATCTTGTCTGATTCTGGTGCAATGATGCTTGTGCCTGATAATAATACCATTCTTCATGGATCCCATTTGAAATGAATAGTCAACTTTGTTTTACTATTCAAGCTGTTAATGCCAAGACTGGTTGAAGGACTAAAAGAGTTATCTTGGAAAAAGCCACTTGGTTTTAAAAAGGAATATAACTTCCCCATAAATGTTTTCTTTCAGTTTCCTTCTAGTTCTTGCCCAAGACTGGATTTACATCGTATTCCCAATACATGGGCAAAGATATCTTGTCCATTTAAACTCTTTTGGTGATAGAGGGTGCTATTAAGAAGTTGAACTAAATCAAATTTGGGCAAACCTGGCAGGCCTACCAGAGAAATCAGTTGCGTGATTCGTGCATGTCGATGTTGCGTCCTTGCACGGTACAGGATGCCTGCTTGTAAGTCAGGTTGGTGCAGTATTTAGGGAGTCGGATAGGCGTAGTGTTTCTTTCTTCGCCTTCCACCTCAGGGGGCCTGGGTTCAAATCCAGCTCGGTCCACATGTGGATTGGGTTTTCAGTCCCTACCTGAGTCTGTGGGTATTCCCCGAAACATTTATCCAGGGTTTTCCTCCCACCTCTGAAACTGAACATTTCTTTATTGTCTTCCTCACTCATCATCCTGTTATTGATGCCGAATGCGCTGTTGGATGATCAGATGTAAATTAAAAATAGATCAGTTTCATTGACCTTATGTAGAGCATGAATGCCAAATTCATGAAATGGTGTGCAGGGGTTATGCTTGAAATTTCTTGAATATGCCTGCCAGATTACCCAAAACTGCATTTGGTATCCTTGGTTGCATCCTGTCGCTGACACAGCTCAATTGAACCAGTCAGATGTCTGTGCATACTTCAGGGAAACATAATCCAAACCTGGTCTTGGGCCTAGACTTGTTTGATTCAAGAAAAGTTGGTGTTATGTTACAGGAAAGGAGCTCCAGGTTTTTGAGCATCCATCGTACGCCACTTGTATCAAGACAAAGCGAGATGATCCAAGTATCTTCATCACCGGCACCTACAACTCCTCCATCTTCTGCTGGGACATACGCACAGGGCAGGTGAGTTTGGTTCAGTTTAGGTTTATTTATCACCTGAAATCATCTATTGATTTATCTCCTCCATATTCCCAATGGTGAAGTGAAACTAGTGGCTTTTTTTCTTGGAGGTGTTGATTCTAACTTTGAAGAATCATCAAGGCTTGTGTGAAGTTTCAGTGGCTGACCAAGACTGTTTTCAGTGAAATGGCTGTTGCTCCAGTAATTACCTTCGCGCTGAGATTATTTCACAACCATTTGAAAAAGAATGATATAATTGTCGAAGTTTAAAATGAAGTCACACCAAAAATACTGAATCTCGAGCGTTATTTGTCTGACAGTTGTTGTTAAATAATTCTCACTGTAGCTTTATCTGTTGCAACACTCATATCCCCTGTTGGTAATTATTACGACGAGCTGTGTTCGTGGACTGATGTGGAAGGGGGTCGATGGGGGCCATTCCCCAAAGAAAAGAGATAAAAATATTTTGTTTTTGAAAACTGAAAAATTTTTGGTTGCTTTCATTTCCCTTCATAAAGTACGTAAAAAAGCCTCCAAAATGTAGCCTTATCCTTAGAAAGGCCATAAAGGGTAACATGAAAATATGTCCAAATTCCCCCTCCACCAATAAGTTTGCACACCCCTCCCCCTCCGACGATTTGGTTATGGATCCATCCCTGGCTTTGTACAGCCAAGAGTACAGACTCGAGTTCAACGCATGACTCACCCACCCCCTGGGAATGTGCATCATCAGATCAAGCTTACATATCCTTGAAATTCTCACTGAAACTTCTCGTAGGCGCATTTGTGCTCTAGCATAAACTGGTCAAGGGCCTTCCACATGTTGCCTCTCTTTTGCATCCATGTCAAACCAGAACGAGCAAGAGTACAGAGGCAAGCTTGGTCAGATACTTGACCTGGAGTTTCTGCCCGGCTGTGAGGAGTTTGTGTCCTCTTGTGACGTGGTGAGTCGGGACTCGGCCAACAGGACTATCATGGTGTGGGACCTGAGATCAACAGCGGTGGTGTCTAACCAGCTATACCATGTAAGAAGACCGGACTTAGCTCATACTCTTAAGGTTTCTTACAAAAAGAGGCAATAAAAATATGGACAAAGATTGCATAAGTCAGTGCATCTATTTTACATTTGTATGTGATTTTTGTAAACCTGTTCCTTGCGACAGTTATGAATTTAACATCAATGTGCAGTACCATGCAGGAAGTATCTCTTAGTGAGTTGGTGAGTTTCTGAGAAGAACCAGTTGAGTCAATTGAATAGGACCAGTTGAGTCAACTGAACAGAACCAGTGGATTAACTGAATAGAACCAGTTGAGTCAACCGTATAGAACCAGTTGAGTAACTGAATATAACCAGTTGAGTCAACTGAACAGAACCAGTGGTTTAACTGAATAGAAGCAGTTGACTAACTGAATATAACCAGTTGAGTCAACTGAATAGAACCAGTTGACTAACTGAATATAACCAGTTGAGTCAACTGAATAGAACCAGTTGACTAACTGAATATAACCAGTTGAGTCAACTGAATAGAACCAGTTGAGTAACTGAATATAACCAGTTGAGTCCACTGAACAGAACCAGTGGTTTAACTGAATAGAACCAGTTGAGTCCACTGAACAGAACCAGTGGTTTAACTGAATAGAACCAGCTGAGTAACTGAATATAAACAGTTGAGTCAACTGAACAGAACCAGAGGTTTAACTGAATAGAAGCAGTTGAGTCAACTGAATAGAAGCAGTTGAGTCAACTGAATAGCACCAGTTGAGTCAACTGAATAGAACCAGTGGACTCAACTGAATTGCACCAGTTGAGTCAACTCAGCAGAACCAGTTGAGTCAACATTGAGGGCATCAGTTGATTAATTCTTGCCTACTTTCACACACAGCAAACTAAGCATAGAAGCCCTGACCAAACCCTTGCTCATTTAGGATTTGTAACAGATAGAATTAGCACATGCCAATGCATACCATGTCTGTCAACTGAGGTGTCCACAGGTCATTGAATCCTGCACATGAATCACAGTAGTACGATTTCAAAAGTAGGTCATTGAATAAAAAGAGATCAGCCCATTTTGTTTGATTAGTACATGAAGTTGCCATCTTAGAGCAGGGGTGAACTTGCGTTGTAAGGAGTCTACCATGACTGGAAAATCTCAGTAGCACAGACTTCAGTTTTAAAAAACAATTTTTGTGTGTTTTACTATGCACTGCTTGGCAAATTGTACTGAATATTTTCATCAGAAATTGGACTTTTTTTACCGATCAAGGAGAAATACACCTGCCCTTGCTTGAGACGTCACCCTAGTGACAGCGTATTCGTGGCCCAGTCTACGGCCAACTACATCGCCTTGTTCTCAACAGTCAGGCCCTATAAGATGAACAAATTCAAGCGCTACGAAGGTCATCAGGTGAGCACAAAATCTTGTACCAGTCGCTGTTGAATCTTGACAAAGTCAGGATTGAGGGTTGAGTGGGTTGGGTACATTTCCGTGGGATTGGATGAGGGTTTCAACTGTTATCTTTATCCAGTCCTTACCCTCAAAGTCCAACAGGGATTGAGCCTGTTCAACGAATACTTTTCAAGACTTTATAGCAGTACAGCATAACTTCTTGATATCCCCAAAACGCCACAAAAATCACATCTTCAAAAGGTGATCCGCCAGTTTCCTTCTTTCTCGCTCTATGATCAACAAGTGCAGATACCTTTTCCTGTGCAAATCAAGAAAACGACAACCCACTTGTACCTTTTTCTCTCTCTCTCAAACCATGGCATTCCACCAGCTGGAAGGCTACCGCATTGGCTGTGATTTCTCTCCCGATGGCACTCTTCTGAACACTGGCAGCTGCGACGGCAGGGTGTACGTGTACGATTATCGCACCTCCAGAATCCTGAAGACGTTACAGTGTCACGCTGGGCCGTGCACCGATGTCGCCTGGCATCCTGTGCTACCTGGAGTCATGGCATCGTGCAGCTGGGATGGGGCTGTGCATGTTTGGCAGTGAAGGGGGCAGACCTTTTTGTGTTTTCTAAACGTTGAAATCGGTTCGTCTCAAACCAGGGCACAAACTCTACTGTGACTTGCCTGGTCATGGCAATGAGGCTTGCTTATGAGCATCTTCTGGGGTTTTCCTCCCACCACTAAAACTGTGACTTCTTGTAATTGTCTACTCTCTACAGGTTTCTTCAGGCTTTCAAGCTGCAGCGCCTAGGGCACTTTAGAGGAATCCTTGGTTTCATTACCAGAAAGACTCAAATAAAATCAATCAATCAATCTACACTGGCTACCTGATCTCAGGGATAGGACAGGCAGGTGTCTCAGCTCGTAGCGTTTCACTGGTTGCCATGTGAACTGCACTGCACAGAATGGCTGCAGTAGAATTCATATGTTGTCCCACAAACTACTGCATGTAATTAATTGGTGTATAGAAATCTTGCCATGTAATATACAATTTCGAAGTTGAACTTTTCACCTTAGCGGAGGGGTCCCTCAGATGTCACAGCTGTAGGCCCCTACATAATGATAAAATGGTTGTCACAATCATAGGTAATATTATTTCAAGCCTTAATGCCCCCCACCGTGCCAGAGCTTGACAGAGACACCATATCAAACTAGAAAACCTTGAACAATGCCAGACAGGAAACATGATTTGTCATTTTCACTGTTATTTATTATTTGTGCAATAAAAACCATACAGTTGATATTTTTAACACTATATGACTGGTGATCATTTAGTTGACTGTTACGTGCTAGTACATCGCTCTTCTTTTAATAATGTCATACACATTACCATTTGTTAAAAGCTTTGCATCATTGTTAGTGAAAACACTGTGGACACCATGCTCACATGAAAAAGCAGACTTTTAAAACTCGCAACTGAAACATGTTCAATGTGCATTACCCAGATCGGTCATTCTGGTACCGAACAGATAGTGGGATAATTCATGTTATTACAAAACATTACATTTCCTTTCCTTTTCACTAACTTTAAAGATAAATCCTTTTTTGGTCGACTCCTCTCTTCACGCAAGTCCAAGCACTTGTTTGAAACCCTTTATCAATAAGTGCAAGCAAGAATATTGGATAGTGCATCCCACAGACTTGAGGGAGACTACATAAGGCAAGTCTATCCTTACTCTGCTTGTGTAGTCTTGCCTCAAGTTGCTGTTACATGCACTACATTCTTGCCCGGATGCCTTGACAAAAGGCTAGTAGTTTGAGGACACGAGTAGCAGAGCAGTAATCAAGTCCTTGTAACGGTCCACAGAGTAAACTGAATGAGAACGCATAATCGACATCAAGCATGAAGAGCACAACATTTTAACTAGAGTAATCTCAGTTTAAACGATGGTAAGAATCTGCAAATTTGGAAAAACATCAGCTGGTAATGTTCAGATAGTGTTAAAAGGTCTCGGACTTGAATTGTGGGCTTTTTCCAAATATCTGTGTATTGCATTTGTATCGATGTCAAGTAGTGTGCTGCACAGATTCTTGATACTCCGTCGGTACAGCCACGGTCATCAGTCTTAAGACATATTCTACCACCGTGCCTTGAGGTCAGTTTAGAAGAGACAAGGAAAAAGATTCTAGGTTTGACTGCACTAGAGTGGTTGGGACCCTGCCAAGTTTGTGAATGTGTTCTGCACGTATGTGCATGTACGGCACTGAATGGTGGCATCTCTAAAAGGGCACACACACTACCAAGTGGTAACAGGAAAGAACTAACACAGCCTGTCAGGCATGTAAATCAGGGACATCCTAAGCTCTGATTGGCTGTGACTCTACATGCTCCAGCTCAATGGACCAATCAGACATCAACTTGTGGTTCTTAATTTTAGAGGGACAAGGAGCCATGTTCGTCCATTCCCCAGACACGACCAGCTATGTCCTTGGCTGAAGATGATACAAAGTATTTGAAGGAATGCTGGTAAATGTTGGCAGAAAATCAGAGTGTTTGTGTATAGCACTTCAATTTTTCAATCATCAGTTGGAGCTTGTGCATGTATCAACAGCAATGAAAACATGGAGAATTATAAAATGATGGACAGAATACTTAGACATTAACACAGGACAAATCACTTTGCATTGGAATGTTAAACTAAGCAAATACAAGTACACTGTATTGGCATTGGTTAGCATTTTGAGTAATCATCTCGATGCATATAAATTATCGACTGAAAAAAATATCTACTTTTACACTTCAAAAATATATACAAAATACAAACAGATTCAGTCAAACACTTCGTTCTTCACATAGCAATAAACAGTACATTTGGAATGGACAGACTTGGTTAATGTGGCATATTGAGGTTTGATGTAAAATCATATTGAAATCGGAGGATTTGGGACTGTTAGGGTTAAGAATCCTAATTGTCATCTCTCGTACATATTCCTCGTAGCGTTACTTAAAAAGCCTCTGAAAAATTGTTACAGGAAATCCAAGTTTGTTTTGGGATTGAGGCAGAAGACTTTAACAAACAGACAGTATGTGGATAATGCCTGCATGTTTGCCCTGGATAAAAGGTGGAAATGCAGGAAACAATAATCTTATCCCAAACTGACTATTACAACAAGTACTTCTAGTTATTTAACTCGTTATCTAGTTATCAACTAGTCACAAATTGTTCCTTGCTGCCATACAGTCTTGAAACATTTCTGAGCTTGATGCCTCTGTAAGACATCAAACCAACTGAAGAATGTTACGATCATAACTCCACTACATCGGAATATAATGCCTTTGTCACATTTGTGGCCTAAAACATTTGCATAAAATATTTGGTTTCACATTTTAAAAGAATTCTTCAATAAAATCACAGCCAAAATGTACAAACACCTAACACACACACAACCAAAATGTACAAACGATCACTTGCATCTTTACAATTTTTAAAAAATTAAACGTTAATGCTGATGAGCGTTAAATGAACCAAAGAAATTTTTTTTAAATTCTCATAAAAATTGAACAATGTACCACTATTTGAGTGCCCGTAGTACTTCCATTTTTAATCATTTATCCTATCCAAAATATAGAACAAGTGTTTTCAGTCTGTATCTTATTTCACTGAATAAACAACTTCAGACTACTTGTTCACTTAACCACTGAGAACTACACACACACACACTGCTTAAAAAGGTTGGTGCAGCAATTAAAACCTTAGTCTTTTGTCCATTTACAGTCGAGAATTAACAAATCACTGTTTTAGGATATCATTGGGGGAAACCAACTGATGGATTTGACCCAAGATAAAACCAGTGCTCTGAAATATATGATTGCCGAGCTTTCGTTAACTGAGTACCTTCTTCAGGGCAAGCAGAGAACTGAATCTGCTTGTCCTGAAGAAGGTACTCAGTTACCGAAAGCTCGGCAATCATATATTTCAGAGCACTGATTTAATCTTATATTCTTGTCGATATTCTGATCATGGTGCTACGCAGCCCTTCCATATTTCTCTAACGGATTTGAGCTGATTGGTTGAAACTTACAAAGCACATTAAATAGTAAGACATCCAAGAGAGTCACACTGTGTGTAATTCAAGGGTGTAAATCTGTTTTGAAAAGTGGGGGGGGGGACATAGCCCTGATCAGAACAAATGCGAGCGCAAAAAGCGAAGCTCTGAGTGGTGTGGGGTCTGGGGCCCGCCTTAGGACCCTGGAAAATTTTTGGAGTAGAGATGCTCTGTGGTCTGATCTGAGACAAGTTTTGGCTACTTTAGCCAGTGTTTTTAACCAATGTTTTTGCAAGCTACACATTTTCATTTAGGTTTTGGAAAAAAGTGGGAGGGGGGGGACAATTGATATAGTATCCCCCCCACTTGGAAAAGTGGGAGGGACATGTGCCCCCCTGTCCTCCACCAACTGATGCCCATGGTATTCTAAAATGCACCTTTTCCATGATCTTCAATTCTCTCATTTAACAAAACAGATACAAAAAATCACTTCCTTACTGCAACAGCCACATTAAAACTTGTCATAAATAAAAATCACCTTTGTTATAAATCACGATGTTAAGATACGGCACAAGGCTACTAATACAGAGCTACGCTCAGAATTTTTGCATGATAAAATATGACATTTCCATTAAGTTGCTATAGTCTCATTACGTTTAGTTTAACCTGTAAGTACTACATGTCTACAAACATTTATACAGCTGAGGTTTTTTTTAAATCTAAGACATACCGAATTTGAACTTCACTAACCTGTGAGATTTTGTGAACACTGCGAGGTTCACACTAGGACCCATAATCCTTCACATGGCTGAACCAGTATGAAGATATTGTGCATATTAGATCAGGCTCTGCAATGTTCTCTTTAAGACTACACTACATGTACATGTTTATTCACAATTCTACTTCAGAGAAATGCAAGGATTTCTCTGAGTAAAACACACTTTTGGCACTGGTACTGTTCAGAAAATTTCAAGCTTTACCATCCAATTTTGGAAAGCTTTTTTGTTTCTCCTTGAGAATTTACTTACATGTACTTTATTTTACAAATTAATCATTTTGTTGATGATACATTTCACGCACTCTGTGGACATACACTGGTATGTACATCAAGGGCCATGATCTCAGCCCTTTACAAAATGTACAATGACCCACTGCGGTGTCCTATCACCATTTATTTTTGATTTCTAAAATTTAATCATTACAATCCTCGTGCAAACAAATCTCCTTTAAGATTCACAAATTTCTTCAGTCAAGAATGCAATTATACACATTCTGATTCTATGGTCAGCATTGCCTGTGCATTAGCTATGAATACCACTGTCTACAAACTACGAATGATACATTTTGGTTGCTGTTGTTTATAAGTGAACACTATTACATATTTTTTTCTTTACACCAGCTTAATGTTAAATTTAGACCATCTACTTGTTTAAAATACAGAATGCGGTTGACTGATTCTATTTGACACTATGTACAGACTATGCCACCTGCACCACTACAACCATGATACCACTGTGGGACTACACTCTACTTAGTACATACATGTACTTGTTTCATGAAGAGACAGAAATGCCTGCATGGGTTTGAAAGACGTGTTGTGATTACCTCCATTACAAATCCAATCACAAGCCAACTTCATTTCAGCAACCAGTGAAGTTTCAAGTCTTGTCAGAAGTTAACGAGTCATGCCAGTTCAAGGAATGCCTTTCTCAGAGGTCATCCGAGTTGACTTGCATATGTCACCCCTTGAAAACCCCTGAAACTCACCCCCCCAACAAATCATTTTTAAATCTCCACTTGTGAAGGATCTAACCTTATCAGCAAACTAATGCAAAAATAACAAGATACAACCAAACTTTTCTTGTTCACTCGCTGCATTCCAGATAACACCCATACAAACACAAGATATACTGTGTGTTAAACTGTTACACAAAAGTGATATGCATGGCTGCAGTGGTGACAATTTTGGCAATCACAGTACTCAATAAACCATGACACATTTATTAACATTTGTAAGCCATAAATGCTACTTTTTAGATCAGTAACACTCCTCTTGACGTTCACCTGATGAATAATGAATGATATGGTAATAAAATACAAAAACTTCAAATAAGAATACACATTATACTTACAGTGCTGAAAGTCCTTAACTGATTTTGTACTTGCATAGTTTTGTGAATAAGACACTAATGAATTGAAAGGAACATTGGTGGAGCACATCTAGAACTTTTGGAAAGAAATACAAATGAACTGTACAGTGGGTGTAATTGGTAACTATAAAAACCAAGTTGGCGATTAATGCATTGTTTTTTTTAAATACATGAGTGCACCACAAGCCGACTTCCTGAACACGGGCTTAAAGGAACCATCTCAAGTTCCTGCCATTCTTACCTAAAGTTTTGTAGTACAAAACAACCCGTGCTGCAGACAATAATTTGCTGGCTACAAATGTTCTGTTCATCCGTTACTGTACTGAACAGAGTACAAATTGCATATACTTCTTTTTTTTACAGAACCAAAACCTGGATGTGCCAACAAGTGTTCCAAATCAATATGACTCTAACAAATCCACATCATACATAAATGCGTAGTATTGTAAAACTTTCGACCAAAATGGATGTGCTCTCCAAGTTCACACACGTTGCTGCGGTGCTCCTATACTCTGATCTAATTTGGAACTCACTGAGTTCTCTGATCTGATTTGGAACTCACTGGGTTCTCTGATCTGATTTGGAACTCACTGAGTTCCCCCCTTCCGTTCTGAAAACATTACATATTTGACTTCCACCCTCAGCTACCAAAAAGATATATAACAATGAAGTTACAACAGTAAAAAAAAATGCTCAGCCAGCTCAATTTGTATGCCTCAAATTTTGATCACTCCGTTCTCCATCACACCATGTACAATTTTTCTGCTTCTAAAACTGTTTCTAACACTGTTTCAATTTATTTTAATATAAGTTTGGATTGATCTCCTTACCTTGCTTTAGCTATTTCCATTCTACACTTTAACGACTACCCTCAAAATGAAAGAACTATAAGGCCTGTACATTTTTGTTAGAAATTGATAAAATATGATTTTCTCAGAGAGTTTATATTAGTGGTGACATTAAAATGACAACTATTGTGCTCTTGGTAATTGACCAAGTAACCCGCCAAAATCTTTGGGGTTAACAATCAATAGTTTCTCCAACGTTGTAACTGCTCCGACTGCTGAAAACCACCTAGCTTCAGAGATGGAGTACTGACAGATGAAAATTTGTACCTTTGGAAATAACATCTCTTCCACTTAATGCTTGATGATTCAGAACAACTGAATATACTTAGCCGCATACTGTTTTATAAATTTCAGGACGATCAATAAATTTTTTTGTGGTGAATAAACCTCAGTGCATTTGGATGTTCAGTGTCACCTATGAAACCTATTTTTCTGTCTACACACAAATTACTTTTCTACGAGTTGCTTTCTTCATTCCAAAAAAAAAGTTCCAACACACCACCGAGACACACAACGTAATGTTACGCTTTCAGTGATGCAAAGTGTGTTCACAATAATTTGTAGAAATGGTTCACCACTTTACTTTAAAAAACATTTGAAAGCTCATCTGGAAGTACAAATGGTTTGAAAAGACAATCAGTATCAGACGCTGGTTTGCAGGAAGTGGGGGGTCTTGGGTGCATTGGGGTTGGAGCCGGGTTTGGCTGGGTTGGAATTGGTGTTGTCATCTGAGCTAGGACTGGAATTCATGTTGGAAGTTGGATTAGGATTTGGCCGAGGATTGGCAGGTCGGTTGTGCTGGGAACCGATGACTTGGCCTGTGGGCTTCGTAGTGCCGCCGCCATGTTTTGACTTTGGCTGGGCCTTCTTTTTCAAGTTCTCAGCATTGTTCTCATTGATGTACATCGACACCCTTTCGGTCTTCTCGCCCATGCTTGGGCTTTCAGGAAGTGGGGCCTGATTCTGGGTATGGTAAGTGGAGCCTTTCTGGTTGGGGGCTACGGGGAGATCCTTGATCTTGGTGTCTTCGCTGGGTGTTCTCATGGTGCCGTTGACCACAGCCGACCTTTGGTTCCTCTGCTGGGATTTGATGACGGCCGCCTTTCCCACCTTCTTGAATTCGGGCTCGACCAGTGAGGAGGCCTGGGAACTCTCGGTCAGTATGGTGTGGCCGCTGCTGTTGCTCTTCTGATTCTGTTGGATCTGGGGATGAGTGGGGCCTGGGTGGACACGCCTGGCCGGGCCTGTGGGTTTGGAGGTCGGCGGTTTAGGGGTGGCCAGGGCTGCGTCTGCCTCCGTCAGGGAAGACCCCACGCTGCTTTGAGTGCCTGTGTTACTCTCCTTGCTAGCACTGCTGCTGTCAGACATATCATCCTGCATTGGGGAGCCTGAATCTAGAGGGGAAATAAGAGACAGAACATCGGCTGTGGACGGAGTCTCAAGTTCTCGTTCTATCGTGGTGGTCCCCAATGGCTTGATGCTAGGCTCTGGGTCGGAAATATCTAGCAGCAAGTCAGCCAAGGAGAGATTCTCCAGTGAGCGCTTCAAGTTCAGCTCAGCAGCAGTGTCACTGGGTGCATCAGTCTCCAATAGGTCAAGCAACAGGTGTTCATTTGCTTTCTTAGGGGCGGGCTTAGCTGGAGCTGGTTCAGAGAGGTCCAACAGGTTGAGGAGCTTCGGTTCCGGTTCAGGTATGGCTGGCTTCAGGGGCTCGGGCTCAATGGGTATGAGGGTCAGCTCGGAGCCGCATTTGGCACACAACTGTTCCAGCTGGTCCCTGGTCTCCACAGCCACCGTCTGTGTCCCCTTGTCGTGCAGTGCCACGGCGACGTCCTGCTTGCTGCGGCTGCTACGCAGTGTAGGCACCAGCTTCTCTACCTCCTTACGGTCCTCCTCATCCCGCAGCTGCATGGCCCTGGCGATGATGTTAGCAGGGACCGAGTCATAAACCCGCGATGCCAGCAGGCCGTTGTGCCTGGACTTGTCAGCTCCCAACAGTGGCTGGCTGTTATCGGTCACAGTGGGACTCTTCAATGTTCCGCTGGTGTGCTGGCTGCCAGTGCCCATCTCACCCATGAGTTGGTGGACGTAGTACTGGAGATCATGAGGAAGCTGAAACCAACAATTGAAATTATTTTCCATTAAAGAGTTCCTTATAGTCAAAGACATGCAAAATACTTACACCTAGCATGCTGTAATTCTGTGTGAATTTTGAAGGAACTGTTTAGCCAAGCTGCATCATATATAAGGGCACCCGTTTTTAACCGTATGGTTTTCATTTCTGACCGGCCGTATTTTTAGCTTCCAACCTCAAAAAAGGCTTTTGTTTTGACCGACACTGCTAAGAAGACCCTGCCCCCCAAAAAAGTGAAATGTGATTTAATGCCTGTACAAAAACAGCACTGAAAATGGACATGAGTCATATGATTTAGCCCAAACATCAAAGTTGCGATATACATGTATTTTAGATTTGTTAATAACGGTCTTGTTTTTGTTCCATGTGCATTTTATTCCTTTTTTTTTTAAATTGAATATTTAAGTTTTTTATGAAGCTACATGTATGTTTGCAGCTACAAGTACATGTACTTTCAGTAGTTCCATAAATTGTTCTCCAGGTCTTGAAAATTCAGGTATTGTATTGTGGACTCAAAGCATATTTCTTAGTTCCCAACTAAAAGGAAGAACACTCATAGGACTCAATATTAAAACAAAGGACAAGTATATACATGTATTGTGCACTTTGCCTGGTTTATTCAGTAATCTGTATGGGAGGAGAACAGATCTTTTTTGGGGGGGGGGATTTTTTATTCGACCAACCGTCTGACCCTCCCTCAAGTTAAAAAGATATGAGAACCACAGAATAAAACTAGGGTGCTCTGATACATGTAAAAACGTAATGCTATCGCTGTCAGGGCTGCAGATCGATTAACTTCAAAATTCACTTCGAGTCTGAGATCCAAGTGCTGATAACATGGCACTGATCTACACTTGAACACAAGAGACAGTGCTCACATAAGCTTACCTGGCTGACTTTGTGTTGCATGTAAGCTCCAGAGGGGGTGCATTGAAGTAGTTCAACAGCCAGCTGGCAGTCCTTTTTATAGCGTGCCTGGATAAACAAAATGAGTAAAAAAAAAGAGAGAAATACGTTGTTAAAAATTCAGCAATCTGGGGAAAATTTAGTACTGGGTTTATTTGACAATATACACATGTAAGCACATTGTTTCAACATACATGCATTTTAGTAGAGCAGAATTAGCCAAGGAAGAATGCTTGTTGAATAGCTGTGGTTTTCTTTACGCGGGGAAAAATCATGTCTAATATTTTGAAATCACCTATTTCAAAGGAGAAAGATTGAAAAACACACTTACTGACAGGATTTGAGCACCACAAACAAAATTTAACTCAGCTCACCACATCAATAATACCCTAATGAATTCGGCTCTCAATGAGAAGGGAACATCTGGACCAGTCTGCGTCGTTCTTGGCATTATACACAGAAAGACCCTGCAATCAATTTGTCTTTCTCCTTCCCAATTTAGGCAGACATGAACAAACCAGCAGCTTCCAATCGTAGCAACGGCGCCGTCTGAAGATCACAGGGACCAAACTGCAAATAATGCAGGGCTGCCCATGGGAGAACGCTCTGTTTCCATGGCAACAGCATGCATCAGGCTGAGAGGTCTCATCAAAGACATATCATGGTAAATTAAACCCTCTCTTGGGAGGGCTTGAAGGGCGGTAGGGGTGCATAAGGATATAGGATGATTCAGAGAGCAAATGTGAGGGTAGAGAGATGGAAGCCACGAGCTCTTGACAGAAAATCCTTTAATGGAGACAATTCTCTTACTTTGTATCTAAATTCTCTAAAAATCCCAATTTTCTGAAACATTTCAATGCCATGCAGAAAGTATGCATACATGTAGCATTTTGCTCTTAGGTTCTCAAGTCTCAAAAAATTGACTTTTTGGGAGTGTTTTTCTTTTTTCAAGTTGCTCTAGTGCCACAGTCACGTGTTGTGATATTTTGACCTCCAAGATACTCACAGCACCCAAGGTGAAGCTGAGGGTGCTAAGAGTCCCCGCGGGTGATCAAACATATCCCACATCACAAAAGTGGATGAAGCAGTGAGAAATGTGACACAAATTTGGGACAATTGAGAGCAAAGAGTTGGCCCTTTGAAAACCCATCTTTACGCAAAGGGACTGCGACTGTGGTATACAGCCACTTGATAAAGTCAGTATTTTGGGCCAAAAATACTACTGTGCCTGGTCTAAGTTATTTGTGGAAAAATACTATTTACAATTAGTTAAAAGAATAACAAAGGCACTCCGCTGGTAGTGTTTATCCGCTGTTAGTGTTGCTTGCGACCAGACTTGGGACTTGACCGATTGCTGTGTGATGTGCCCCAGATGGACTCATCTGCAATTCTTCCTCGATGCTACAGTTACACAATTTTGTAATGCCCCAGACTGAAATTAGGTGCATCTGTTTTTTCTTTTTTTTGCGAGAAAGCTGGTTGGCACTGCCAAATACCAGTCTAGGACATGTGATTATGGGAAATAGTTCAGTGTCCTGTCAAATTTCACACAGGGCAGTTCTACACGAGGCTGTTTTCTTAAAATTCTGATATTTCAAACTCCCTCAGGCCTTGAGGAGCAGACGGAGATCAATACCAAGAAAATGTCAGAGGATGGTATAAAGATTTTTTTTAAGAGACTGCTTCAGTGAGTGGTATCTTTTAGAAAACATATTGACTACTCTGCAACCTCACACTCTCTGACCACAATGTGTTACCTCCGAGCTTCCTGAAATCTATTCAGTGGTAGATGAGTGACTAACTTGACGGTCTGATGTAAATTCAAGAGCATGATAACGCCTCACAAAGTGCTTCGTGAGTTGAAGCCATATGAAACCTTTATTAGCTCAAAACCCTTGGTTTCAATAGTAAAAACCACTATTTGAAAGAGCTGTCCTAGCTTTGCTGCTGCGAAAAAGGCCTGAATGTGAATTTTTTTTCAACATGTGAAGGGATATTGTAGATTGGGGGAAAAAATTTTACATGAATTACATGAAAGTGTTTTTCAATACGAAGTTTAACTTTGCACAACTATACATGTGTCTGAATGGTAGGAATTTTCCCTATTTTGCTGTCAATTTCTTGCTGCGTGAGTCTGGATTTGACCATCAAGATTCAGGTATTTTCAGATCCAGATCTGGATTTGGTTGGACATTTTAAGGGAATAGATTAATATGGATTTGTACAATAAAAACCTACATTAGGATTAAGAACTGGAGTGACAGGGAAACAGGGGTTCGAATAGACAGATACGTTACAGTTGTACTTGAATTTGAATGAATTTAATGCCAGATTAGGCTCCTTACATTTCTCTCCTCCTGTTTGTTGATTTCAAACTTGGTGTCCAGTAGCCTCTGGCTTAGTGTCAAAACCTCCCTGTTGAGGGCTTGCTTCTCCTTTTCATAGGCGGCAGCCTGTATCAAACACAAAGCATGGCACAATGATTCTACAACTCTGAAAATGTCTGAAACAGCTAGGTGTATCCTCTTCAACATCAACTGAATAAAGTTTACAGAACTAGGCCAATAAAGCTCAATAGCTGCAAGTTTAAAGAAAGGTAGACTGGGGTTGACTTTTCAAGAAAAATCTTGTTTAGTGGACGTGAGCTACCATCACTTCTGCCATATCAAATATGTACATGTAACTATTCAGACAAAAAACTGGGTTACATTTAACTGTTTTTCATTTTGCTTATAAAAACAAAGCAAAACCCTCGCAAAAACAAATATACATGATTTTGTGGGGTCAGATCAGATATGAATATATACATGTACAATATCATTTCTGCATTTTAATTCACTAATGTTAAAAGGTATACAGTTTTCCGACAAATAGCAGGGCCATGTGGACATGCTAGCACATTTTTTTGCAACTCTGTATTTCCATGTACATGTAAATGATATAAATATTTTGTCACTTAATTCTCACTCTCTGTATCTGAAATCATGGAATACAATGTACATGTACCGGTATGTACATGTACATCAGCAAGGATGACATTCCTGCCACATGAAGGTTCATTCAGGTAAACCATCATGATAATCACCCTTTGGAAACTGCAAGGCCACGAACATCCACTTCAATGAAGGTGACCTCTTCCTGACACAATGCACCAAATTACTGGCGAGTGTGTCTAATTTCTTTAAAGATTTCTGAATTGGTAATATTATTATTATTAAATTAATATTGTGCTCATTCCATACAATGTTCAGGAGTGCATTACAAAGAATATTACGTACATGTACGTAGTTAAGAAAGACATAAAAATCGACAAGAATTTACAGTAAAATAAATATTATAACACTACCCAAAATAAAGATAACAAAACACAACCAAAATTAATAATTAAAAGTGTGGATTGTTAAGGTGAAGCTTACAACCACTATCCATAGTGTTCCCAGTTAATAAAATGCCTTCTTAAACAGATGAGTTTTTAACATGGATACTTCAAAAGTGATAACAGTGGTAGCACGTCTGATATGAAGTGAAGTCAGTTCCAGATATTTGGTGCGCTATAAAGGCTCGATCCCCCAAGGGTAACCTTACCCTGACCTGCAGGATAGTTAAGAACACCATCGCCAGAACTATGAAGACAGTGGTCTGAGACTTTACAGAAACGAGCTGAGGTAAATATTGTGGAGCTTGGTTGTGCAAGACTTTGTATTTCATCAACAAACTCTTAAATTCAATTCTATATCGAACAGGAAGCCAGAGTAAGTCAATGAGTAAAGGTGTGGTTTGACAAAACTTTGATGTCTTGTAAACAAGGCGGGCACAAGCATTCGGCACTCTCGGGAGTTGGTTGATCGGCTTGTTGGGCAAGCCATACAGCAAGCTGTTACAATAATCAAGTCTACTTGAGATAAATGTAAGAATCATTGTCTCGGTACATTCCTTACAGAGGTATTTCCTGACACGTCTAATATTATGTAAATAATCGAATGCACTACCACAAACTTTAGTGACATGAGATCACAATGACATATTGGCATCAAACCATGCACCTAAAGTTTGGGAAACAGCAGATTCCCTATCCTGAATACCATCCAAAGTAACCTTGAGTAGTTGCTGACGAGTGCCAATAATGAACAACTCCGTTTTTTGTCATTCAAAAATAACCCATTATTAAACATCCATTGTTGTACATCATGTATACAAGACTCCATGGCAGATATGGCAGATTCCTGGCTACCAGCCTCACATCAGGACAAAAATGATAAATGCAACTGAGTATCGTTGGCATACCAATGGACCTGTGGATGATGAACTTTGACAATAATGGACAGCTGACTGGTAAAGGGCCTAAACATGACCCCCATTCAAGATTATATTTACTTGATAGTTTGCTGTTAACCAAAACCCTTTGAGATCTGCCATACAAGTATGAATGAAACCAGTTAAGGTCTATTATCAAGTGCATGTCCAATCAAAAAATTTAGTTAGTTTCAGCAAGTGTCTCATTACTCATTCATAATACATTAAAAACCCTCTTGCATTGGGGCTACTTGTCCCACGGCAGAATGCAGTCTACCGGTACATCTGTACATGTAATCTTCACCTCTTGTTTGTTTTTAAGCACACAAACATTTCAACCACGCACATGTATACATTTTTACATACTGTATGCCCTAAACAGTGAAGCTATCAATGGCTAAACTCTATTTACAATGTACCTTGGGGACTGTGACATCAATATCCAGGCTTTGCTTGCTTACAGTTTGTGTCATGGCACTTCAAGAATTTCATTTTATTTGTTGGCACAAAAGCCTACGCTAAAACATGGAAATGTTTCACGTAAATTTTAAATGAGCTATTTCTCATTTCCCAGTCGCCCGAATGACTTACAATATCAAGAATCCTCTCTTCCAAGTCGCTGTTAATCTCGTGGAGCTCCTGATGACTTTTTTCCAACCTGCATAATCAGTAAAGAAAAGACTTAAGTTACCACGAACTTATCAAATAAAAATACGACTGTGGAGAGGATCACCAAATTTATCATGCCTTGTGGTTTCACATGTACTGGTACTGGTACACACATGTACATGTACAGTACAACTGAGGGGCCCCTGCAGCAGGCCTGCCAACCCTCACAAAATGAGCAAGAGACGCGCATATTTCAGGTCATTCTCACACCTTCATAAACACACGGAATTTCTCAGACAAACAAGGAAAAAAGAAATAAAACCATCACTACATGTATGCATGTATGTAAGAAAAAATAACACATTTCACTTCAATACTTCGTGGTCCTATCCTGATCATGGAATGAAAACACGAAATCTGTAAGCCTGTTTTTGGTAGAAATGAAACAATATGATTGGCTGTTACAGCAGTGGTGGTAATGTCACACATTTTAAGTGAATGCATGCAAGTCCTTGTCTAAAATGGACTTTCAGAGCTACATGTAGATGAACATGTACATTATGCTCATGTCTTACTCGATGTTGGCAGCCCAGCTACGGAAAAAAAATTACCCATCTATTCCTATGAGTCAACAATTGTTTTTTTATGTGACATATGCATGTCCTGTTAGGTTTTTAACCTGAAAACATTCCTGGGACTTTGATCTTGGTACGTGTACAACTATCCTCCAATGAAATCTTTTGTTACAATTCCTCAGTGCTAACAGATACACGTGTGTGACTTATGCAAAGCATCGTGTTTACATACATGTGTAGGTGGCTTCAGGACTTCACTCGATTTATACAAGAACAGTTTATGGGACACATTTGGGGCAATTACAGCACATTACAAGGAAGACTCTGACAGACTAATAGAAAGCATGTGTCATCGACTAAAAAATAATACACTGTACCGGTACTTAACACGTGCGCACATGAAGACATGTACATTATGTGCCTAATGTGTTAAGAGCATGTAACTTGAACACAATCATTCAAGGTACACGCATTCCGCCTTAAGGGGCCCTGCCACTGAAGGCGGCTACATTACAACTCAGACATTCTGGAGGAAATGCACGATACCGCACAGTGTGGTAAGTTGCCGTTAATAACACCAACGATACGCTCCGCACCGTGCCAGTTTCCGGGGACAAATTCAATTACATTACACATGGCAAGCACCCCAGTGAATGCACGTGTCACTATGATGCACTATCACTGAATTCCCGACACGCGCATGGTGCGTTCATAGAATGCAACCCAACTCCGATCACCCTAAACATGTAATTTTCCCCTTTCTACTCCTGCCACCTTCGTTGCTATTCAGAGCACGTTTTGTGAACACCCACCGTGCTCAAAGTTTGGCCAGTCCAGGCAAATGCCGTATGAACACTCCGAGGACAGGAATGTAATGTTCAAGCGTAACTCTTGGGAGCCTCACAACATCCTCATTTAACAAATACATTTGATGTACACAGAGGAAACAAATCTGCCCCCTGTACACATGACAATGTGCACGTACATGTACATGCATACATGTGCCTGTTGGCGACCATTTACATGTCTAAACCTGCTGTAAAAGCTGAGTAACACGGTACTGCACATAAAATGCTCTGCTGAACTTTGCGTCTCATGTACATGTACAGTATCTAGAAACATGCAGCCATATCACTGACTACTGTAAAGAGAAAAACAAAACAAAAATAAGTAGAAACAGTAGAACTTTTAGGAAGTTGCTCCAACAAACCTGAAATTCTGCTAAAAACATGTCACCTTTATAAACCAAAACATTACCTGCCTACATGTACATGTACACAGCCACCACCTTGATTAATGAGAGTGCACTGCAACTACGTGTATCCCCAAAGGGAAAAAAACCCACCACCGTACAAATAATTCCCTCATTTCTTCTGTGTCCATTCGGCATTTTGATGAGAACTACAAGTCTTTAGTCAATGCAGCCATTAAGGATGGAACAAATACCGGAGAACTTTTTTTACATTCCACACTGAAATAAACACAATCTGTTATTTTCATCTTTTTGAGTTTGGCACACCAAATTATGATGATTTAAATATTTAGAGTGGCTGAGCTGAGCTCTTCTGATGATGCCAGCATATCCTTCTGGTGAGATTTATTTGCGTCCAACGTGCAAACAGCTCATGGAGAAGTACATTAGCCCACTCCATTTTGGCGACTATGTGCTGAGCCAGACAAGTAATTGAAAGCAAAACACATCTTCTGGAGAGGCTGAGAGGCTCCATTTTCAGTAAACAAACAGCTGTCTCTTCCACCCTTCTTTCGGTCAGATCGAATCTGTTGGTTTTGGGGATGTTATTTCAAAGAAGCCTCCAGAGCACATGTACAAACATGAAGCTGGGATCTCACAGATGGGCAAAGGGCCAGTAGCAGACCATTTGTTTTCCTTGTAGACTTAAGTCTTGTCTTTTTCTCAGGAGGTCCATGTTTCCACGAGTTTCCACGAGTTTCCCCTGGCTATTCTCATCTTTTAAGACAGCATGATGGTGAAGTACCCTCTTTGCAGCAAGTTTTAACATACAGTGTCTATGAATGGTAAAAACCACTGTTAGCATTCATCAAAAATGGCTTTTTAAGGGGCCTTGCATGTCAATTTTTTTTTAGAAGGACACCTGTTGTTTCTATAAATAACCTATAAATAACCAAAACAAATTATCTTGTCTACACATACAGACTGTACATACGTGTAGCATATTTTACAACGTACTGTAGGGCTGTCTTTGTGTTTGACTGGCTTTTGGCCAAAACATAATGCCACCATACAAATCATACCTAACAATTTCTAAAATTGCTTTATGTGAAAAATTAAAGAGATGAGGCAGAGCAGTTTCATCCAGCTGCAAAACAGAAATGTTTTGAAAGTAAGAAATGTACCAGTCAGCTGCATGTCAGTAATATTCTGTTCAAAAACTTTGATATACATGTACGGTATGTGCCATATACCGGGTACATAAATCATTTAGAAGCACAGATGTGCGAATTGTTCAATCTAGGCTGCTTTTTCAAGTACATTGTTCCTGTGCAACATTAACACTTTCAAGATAGTACTATGATCCCTACATGCTTAAAATGCAGAATTCAGTGTTGAAAACAAGATGGCTTTTAACAAAAAAAGATAGCTACAGTATGAGCTACTGGCTCAGAATTATGGTTTTGCATTGATGGTCTGTTCTGTGCAGTGCAATAATAAAATCTACACAGGCAAATCTAATGTACACATTGAGAAAGAAGACCAGAATTTGATTAGTTGGCTTTGATTTTGGGACAGAGAGTGAAAAGAGACCCAAGTATAGCCGTGCAGTTGGTGCTATTTCTAATATTTGTCATTTTGTGTACTATCTGGAGGCTTTTCCCACAGTAATTAGGTCATGGATATTCAACCATCAAGAGACATTTCTAGTTAGTGGATACCAGGCAGACAGAAAAATTCGGTCATTTCCCTTCTTTGAGTGGCTCTTTTCTAACCTATTTGCCACTGTGTAAAAATTCTGGTACAGTTCTCACTACTCAATCAACTTTCATTTGGCTGTGACAACACATCTTGAAAAATCAGAAGGCATGTCTGTCCCACAATACATGCACCAAAACAGCCCCCGTCTCAGGGCAGCAAATGCTGACCCAATTTCTTGCCGTTCCTGGGAAAATGTAACTCAGCAACACAAAACCACTGCAAGAAGTCATTTCTTACAGAGACAGGTCGAAAAAAATCTGTGTGTCTAAACTTAACACACATTTTTATCCCTCAGAGTGTATTGTAGTTACTGAGAGTTTCTGTTTCCATGGTACATGGTTTAATAAATGAATCCTTATACAATATGAACAGGCTTACATAACAAGCATTTGTACTGGCCTTCTGTGACAGCCTTGAATACTGAAACAAATTACATCCAATTTTTACCCTCCCCCATGAATGTGGCTTTGTTCCCCCAAATTGCAACATTTCTGTCGAGTGCACTGCACAGCTATCTTTATAAGATGCATAGGCTTGCTAAATGTAACCACAGTGAATGCAGTGTGTGTCACACCATCAATAAGCCAACTTCACCAGTCATCTCAAGTTAAATGCATGTGCAATACTTCTTTCTTCAAAATGGTGTAGCCATATCTGTGGCTGAGCCATTGTACATTTCTCTTTACAATATACAGGTATAAATTTGCTGTTGGTTCATCTACAATGTATAGCATAGCTCTACCATATATGCCATGCAGGGCTACAAAGGTAAACACCGTGTACACATGGATTCGCACTGCATGTGTGCTGTATAGTACAACAGTGCCAAATAACTGAATATTCGATCGATTATCTGATATTCAAATACTGTTTTCCGAATTTGAGTATTCAAATGCAAAATTCATGAAAAGGTACAATTTCATTTTACATGTAATTGAAAAAAATTCCACCATGGAGGCTTGTTTCAAGCAGATTCAAATGAAAATGAAGGAAATCTTACGATTTAAAAAGTAACTTATTAATTAAACAATTTAAAAGGAATAGAAATTTTTAACAGGGCAAGAAGTATTGTTCATCTCTTAAATCTTACTAAATCGCGGCTGGTGATACTCCTAGATGTGAGAAGCTATTACATGTATATTGATTACAATGTACAATTGTGTACATTATTGCAACCGATTTTGTATATGGTTTGTTCATTAACAATCTGCCGGTCAGTACAACCGAATAATTGGATATTGAATGTTGAATATTTGAACAGTGAATTATTCCAATTGACTCAGCCCTACTATATAAAGAATATGTTGAGCTACAAATGCCACACCAAAAGGTACTGTACTGTGATTGGTACATGTAAATGTATATCAATTCCTATAAAGTTCAGTTCCTCAACACCTTACTCCTTCAAGTAGCAATCCTATCCTGTCCCAGCCATACATGAATGCCTTAAGATCCCGGCAGATGCACATTCCCTTCCTCGTACATGTACACAAGAGGAAAACAAAGCACAAAGCACGAGGGAAAGCCGTAATCATGTCGGGAAGCGTGCACCTTCATCTTCCTTGCTGGAAGCAACCAGTGGTGTCTCCTTGCGACAGGCGCAGGTATGTGGGAGGTGGAAGGACCCACGACTGCATCCTTTCATGTAAAATGAGCTCTCGGTGAACTAATTCAAATGCGGCTCAGTGAGGCGGACATCCAGACGGCTTTGGGACAGGTGTGGGGAGGGAAGAGGACAGGAGAGGGGAGAGACATTCGAGCGAGAGGGAAATGTGCTCAGCGTGGCGTAAGAATCCCCTGAAATGTCTCGGACGCCTAGGAGGCAGAAAGGATGATTTTTTTTTTTTTAATGGCCAAACTTTAAAGGTTTGTAATGGTTTGTAATATGATTGCAAGAATCAATCGTTGTGAATGTCAGAACTCCATCCTTCCTTCCTCGCAACCCAGCAGGAAACTTTGTCATCTGCTTTGCTCTTGTAAACAGTAAGGAGTTCTGATAAACAATATTTTAGGACAGATAGATCAGTCTTTTTTTCAACAAAGTGCTCCAAAAGAAACTTACATGTACCAAGCATCTTGCATTTTTTTTCAACTTGGTTTGTACAACATCATCAAATGGGGAACTGTATCAAATATTGCCAAACCTATGTGCGAATATATCCATTTCCAAAATCTGCTCAGATTTAAAGCCACATGGGAATGAATACAAGAAAAAAAGGCAAAACAAAACAACTACCTTACTGTCTCAGTCAGCAACCCCAACACATTTTTACAATCCTAAAAACCACATCAGGGTCTACAACAACATGAAACTGAGTGCAACTCAATTATGCAACAAGAACACAGCTAAAAAAACAGGACCCTGCTACCCCGTAAATGGGGCGAACTACAACTAACTACATGCAACAGTAGATTTTGTTTCACTGAGCAGGGTTTGTACCCTGTCTAAACAGGTGCCTATGACACCAGGTGCAACATACTTTCAACAACTGTTGCATTTTGTTGCACTTGACATGGCTAGGTCAAACAACATGCAGGAAAACCTACGCATTGTATCTTTGTTGCGACAGCCTGAGTTCCTCCCTGCATTCGTCCAGCTCGTTCTCGGTGTACAGCGTGCTCTGCAGGAACTCGCTCTCCATCAATGTGATGCGTTGTTTGCTCTCCTCCACACGCTGACGTAGCATGACATACTGCTCCTTGTTGCACCCACATACCTGAAAAACAAACCAGACAGAAAGTGGAATTGTAACGCAACTTATAGACTGCAAGGTGCACGGATGTACACGTACCTGTACATGTATTTGTGCCCAACGCTGTGGTAGTGCCGAGAATCATCTGTTGAATAGCAAGTACCTGGATCTTGAAAAGGGGCCCCGATAGGCTCTACAAAATCTGAGAATGGTCTGTGCCTCATTCCCAAGACCTTAAATATGATTTACTAGTAAATATCTGCACATGCTCAAACAGGAATTGGGTGCCATGTGCAAGTTCATGCATGCAATAATTGTGAGCAACAGGGAGAGAACTGGAAGAATTATAGCCACACAGAAAGCACTGTTTCACAAGCTGTTGTGCATTACAAACTTTAAAATCATGGGTTTAGGTCTCTAGTCAAAGAGAGACTCAGAGAAAGTAACCTTAAGGGGCTTCCTCGGTCCAACATCTCATTAGTTTGCTCACATGTACATTAACATGCACTTACAACATTGCTGTTACATGTACTTATGTATAACAGGCTCTGTATTACTCAGAGTTACCAGTACATGTACTTACATGTACATCCCCCTCCACCACTGAAAAAAATCACGCATGATGTGGCCTGAATTGTACTGTAAAATTTAGCAAATATACTGATAAATATACAAAGTTGCATTCGCTCGATAATACACTGTACATATACCATTTTTAATGTGTGAATGTATTGTACAAGAGTACAAGTCAAGTGTCTGGACACAAGTAATAGTACTGGTAACATACAGCAGGAAATAGGACATCAAAGTGAAGTACCACAAATTTTTGGTCTAGGAACGCATGCTGTCAGTGCATCAACTGAACGTTGAGCATGCATGTGTAGCGTAAGTACTGTATATATGGCCCTTTCCACTGCACAATCACCAACACAAATTCGTGACAAAAGTAGTGAATGATAGTGTGCACAGTACATGAACTTGAAGCTGATTCATTTATTTTATCAGGTGGCTGGTCGGTAAATGTTACATCTTGAGCTAGCCAGGATGGGTTTCTTCCAGGGCTCTGCACAGTCGAGCTTCTGGTGACCTCATTCCAACTTTTTTCCTTAGCAATCCAGTAACTGAAACCAACAGCGTCTCAAAACAAATTGATTTTTAGCTTGTGTTTCAATGCTACAAACAAGATCCAAACATCTACGTATCATTTCTAAAGTGAACCCCTCACCCCCGGCATTACAAGTTATACATCAGTTAAAGACACGAGAGCCTGTGACATTTCCAATCTTAATTTGCTTCAAACTACTGGGGCATCTTCCTCAATGAATTCTCAGTGATGACAAAAAGATCCATGTCCACTTGAAACCTTGGCTACTGGGAGTCTGGAACATGTTCCTCTTCCTTTCTGCATAAAATGTAACGTGTGACAGCAATGCCCAGAGCAAAATGTTCAGGCAGTTGAACAGATTTCAGTTCCTCAGTTCAACTGTGCCTCCCCAGACATTTTTTGGAATCCTCAGAAGTTATCTACTGTGCAGGCAAAAGCACTGCTAACCTTGAGGTTTCAAGCGGCATGTATGGTAAAAGTAAGATTATAAATGTAACGGTACATGCACCTACAGTGTATCCTGCAAAATCCTCGAAAAACTGCGAAGGGAATGAAGGATTCACTTTATGTACCTATCAAGGAAAAACAGCATACTGGTATTTCATACAAATGCATGTTCAGCTTCAACAGAGTCCTGAAGCTGGAAACTGCTCCATGTATGTAAATAAAATGAACATGCTTTCAGTCATAATATGTGCACAAATGTACATTATGTACATTTACAAAAAAAGTTACAGCAAAATTTGTGTGACAGATAAATTATTTAGATTTTTTTTTCTTAAACCATGTTGGCACATTGCTCTTGAAACGATCAAACAGCCTTCTGTCATTGAAGGTCTTTTTTGTTCCTCAGTTAGTAATGTCTTGATGAGCACAACGTGGCTGCGGCAGCATGTGCAAGGGTGCAGACTGGCCAGAGGGGGACCACATTAAGGGCACATCAACCAACTGCCTTTCAGCAACATCAGTCATGGCAATGTCAGCTATTCATGGATCCTCATTACATGTGTACATGAACATGTACATGTATCATCCGGCATCATTACATGCATGCATGTACATGTACAATGTGTTTATTCAAAAGACAAATGGATACACTTTTTTCCCCAAAATGTTTTTATAATTTGAGTTGCTTACCAGAGCAATAGACTGGGGCACAATCAGAATTCTACTTCATTTCAAAAATAAACAAGAAAAAAACCAGACTTGTACACAGGTGCATAGCAAAGTTACATACATTTATACCTACACATAGCAAGTTAAGTCTGAACATTAATAAGCATCATGCTGTGCTTCCCTCCAACCTTAAAATATCGGTGCATGTACTCTCATCAGAGACCTTTTTTACGTTAAGAGTCGGGAGGGCTGAACACTTCTGTCTGAGCAAAACCTTGCAAAAAGCTAACCACATTCTGCCAGGATTGAAGTATCAGACTCCTTCCACTCATTTACATGTACGTATTCAACGTCATTCCTCTTGGTGTCTATGTTTTGCAGCTTTCCTAACAAGTTTGTTTTACACTAGTCCAGTAAATCGATCCAAGTTGTCACCACGGGCCCATGTACATGTACATGTATATGTTTTTCTTGTTCCAAGAGCCTCAGGAAGACCTGACTGTCTGATGTCTCAAAAATTAATTCATCACGCCAGGCTTGCCCATCATTTCAATTTACTTTCAATCCCAAATAAAACTAATGAAAAAAAAAAAAAAAACTGGAGTGCTGTCCTCCGACAGACATAAATGCACTTAAACTCTGCATGATTAATATGCACTCAAATACACACACTAAAAAGAGGAAAATGCCAAAAATACAATTGAAAGGCCGGAGAGAGAAAATCTACAATCGGTGCCAAACTGTCTGTATCTGAAGCAGATAGGGTTTCATACTCCATCAATTGGTTGAACATCGCATCCTTGTCTACCACTTCAAACAGGCATTGGATGACCGGTGACATGCCGAGCCAGCCAATGAATATTCCTCTCTCGTGATGAATTATCTTATTCTCCCTTTCATCATTACACATGAGTACATCTACCTTTTCTGCCATTCTTTTTCCCGTGATATAGGTTGCCTGATTGGCATGATCAAGGATGTCTTATTGCGACTAAGACTAGATTCTACGTTGGGTGATACTGATGGATTGACAAAAAGGAATGATGTATGTACAGGATGTAAATTGTTGTCATCCAATTAAATGATGGATATTCATCAACCACACACGTACATGCACAGTACATACAAGTACGGTACATGGGCATGTACATGTATACCACACAAACAAATGTACTGGTACGTACTGAAAGAATATTAGACATAATGTACATGTAACAAGTGGCCACCAAAATTGTTGCATAATGGCTAAACAATCACTTTCCTCCTTCCAAATTACTGTATAGGTATACATCTTAATTATTCAACCAAGCAAATCACATCTACCGTACTCTGTATGCGTGCGTCTACCGGAGCATGTTACATGAACATTCATTTAATCTGTTCTCTACATCCTCTGTGTCAATCTCTACTCACAGACAAAATACCAGAATGGAAACGTTACTCATTAATTTAAAAGCACCATTTCCCAGAAAAATTTACTGCCAATTAGGGGTGGAGAACTGTAGAATGTGGAGGGTCTTTGCATACAGAACAGGCACATGTGGTAGAAAAGTTCAGAATCATGTACATCAACTGTGCTTTCACTGAAGTACCAAATCAGTACAATATACATGTATACTCCAAGCATGTACATGTACAATGTACATTCCTCCATACTGATCGACATTGTACATTCCTAGCTTTATGAGTGTACAATACTTATACGGAATAGCTTAATTACCCTACTATAACTTTTAATACCACTTTCCCCAACATGGGGCCTTGAAGGATCACTTTTTGCCTTCATTAAAATGATTTAAGGTAAAAAAAAAAATGCTTGGCCAATAACTTGGCAGGAAAATCACATTGTATTGTTTCTTCTGTAAGTTTATCACCTGTCTCCATAACCACAAACAGACTTTAAGGATATACACGTATGTGGGAACTTGGGAAGTTGGGGGAAAAATGCGAAAAATGTCTAAGATGTACTTTGTTGTCAGGGAGATATTAATTTTAATAATAGCTTTGCCCTTACACTGGAAGAAAAAAATTTCAAGCCATGTAGGAAGGAATTTGTACATGTACAGTGCTTTGACATTAGTAATGGCGCCAATTCAAAAAAAAAAGAAAGAAATACAAAATCACCTGGCGCGAGGAAAGGTTGCAAACCTGATGATACAAAAGTTTAGTTTTCAACCAAACCTGCATGAGAAATATATATTTCGTCCATGGAAAATATAGCATAATGCATCACAGCAGACAATGTGTCAGATGAAAGCATTTTGATTCAGCTTTGGCAGGGTTACTCTTGTATTACGAGTAGTGGTTATGGCAGAGCAATCACCGAAGAGTAATGCACCCTCTATTTAAGGCAATGCAAGAGACTACGTGTATAGTAGTCTTGTCCACTATAAGAGGCATCCGATACCTTGTTACTCTCTGGCTGAAAAAGACACTGGGGTCATTACCTGATGGCCAGTGGGATTCTTGGAAAAGTTCCTGAAAACTTCAATATCTAAATGGCGTTTGAAGGCCATGACAGGGAAATATATGGAATCGCTACAGATTGCCCGGCCAAAAAAAGGCCAGTGCAATGCTTATTTCCGTGAATGATTGTGTGACTTAAAGGTGCTCATTGAAAAATTTGTTATTTCTGACAACAGAACTCTCCACAAATATTTGTCTGAGCACCCTCCAATCCTGCATATCTGCAACAGGCCATGGGCAAAGCGTCCGATCATCTTAAAGTCGACTCCTGTTGTAGAACAGCTAATTGCGGATATTTCTGCCAAGCCTGTCACTCGCAAGTTTTCACGTTGAGTGG